GATGAACACCGGGAAGGCCCATGAGGCTAAAGCAGACCAAGTAAAGGGGAAAGGAAGGAGATCAGAGGAGTCAGGTGAGGGGGGCAGATCATGGAGGACCCCTAGATCTTAGTAAGAACTTTGGCTTGTACTCTGAGGAGATGGGAAGCCATTGGAGAGTTTTGAGCAGCGTGATGGTACGATCTAAAGTCCTTTCTGAAAGGATCACTGGTTGCCACAAGGAGGAATATCAGTTGGGTTTGGGTCCCTGGTAAGTCAGTTGAAAACAAGTACTTCAACAGAAGAATGAATTAACTGTGACAAATGCTGCTGTTAGGTCAAGTAAGATGAGTACTGAATAACTCCTTAGGATTTGCAACATGGAGGACACCAATGATCCTAAGAGGAGCCATATGGGTGGTATGGTAAGGAAATAATGTCCTTATTGAGGTCAGGAGAGAATGGGGAAGAGAAATTAGAGACAACTAGAAGAGATGACTCTTTCAAGGAGTTAAGCTATAAAGGGAAAGAGAAATGGTAGTAGGTGAGAGGAAAAAGGGTTATGAGGGTTTAAGATGGGAGAATATAAAGGCATGTTCCCATGTAGATAGGAATAATCTAGTCGAGGAGCAAAAATTTATCAGACAGGAGGAGAGAATTACAAGTAGGAGAAAGAATTCCCAAGTGGGAGAAAGGAGATATAAATGCTACAGGGGAGGGTCTGGCATTAGCTAAGGGTATATTCATAGTAATAGGAGACATGATAGAGTAATTGGGCATAATTATACATAGAGTGAGTAGATGTGGTTGTGGGAGCTTGTGAAAATCATCTCTGATTGCTTTAGTTTTTTTAGTGAAACAGGAGGCAAGGAAGCAAGGTAATCAATTGAGAATGAGGATCTGAGGGGAGGGTGCTGGAGGCTTGAGGAGGGAGGTATTGCTATAAAGAGTCATCTAGGGGAGTGCAAGAAGCCCCTTTTGATTAACACGATTGCTGGGCAGCATCCAGAGCCCCTTGATGTAAGTGATCATGAATTTGGAATGAAACCAGTAAGCATGGATGTGGGTTCTTCTCCTGCCATGTTCAATGCAGAAATGCTGGCACTCCAGAGGCAGAGATTTAAATCTAATCTAGGGCTATCATTTAGCCAAGAAAGTAAAATGAACTGAAAAGGTAATAAGGGAACTGGGGAAAATGCAAAGGAGTGGTTTTAATTATTGACCATGAAACAAACTGAGTAGGTGGGTGGGAACTGAGGACAAGAGAGGGTGAGGAACATTAAAAAAAAGAAAAAAAGGTAGACTGAAGATCCTGGTGGGGTTCAAAGATTGTTAGAG